GCAAGCTCATGCTTGCATGGATACCAGTTCTGTGAGATAATTTTTATGCCATCATTTGCAGATTTCTTGTACCAGAGCCAAAGTTTTGTAAATGTTCTCCTTTATTAAATCTTCCTTCTACCTCAGCATGTTTTCTGCTGATACTAAGATTCATTATTTGTGCTAGAAATAACCCCAGTAAATAGATACTTAAAACAGAATTCTAGATCTGGGCTTTTCAGATATTGAAAAGAATACAGTGATATAGAACATGAAAAATGGATGGGAACTCTATGTAGAGTAGCATCCTAAGTGAGTACCAATGGTAGCAATGTATGAAATGCAGCTGGAAGGAAAAGTATTAAGGTCAAATGGATTGTAATATTGAACTGTAACAACAGTTACAAGAATTGTGATTATCATCTAGATTCTTCTGAGACTCCAGATAGAGAACAAAGGGAAAAAATTAAGTTTTAAGCATAACAATTAAAAAACATACCTTGAAACAAAGGATTCTGGCACTTTAATTTCAGAGTCACAGAGCAGATATGGCAGAGAAAAAAGCTGAAACCTGATGACACTCTATAAAAGTTTAGTATGGAGTAAATATTTGTGCCTTTCAGATCTCTTATTCTGGGAAAGAATAGATTTCTGAGATATGATATATATATAGTACTAATATGCATATTAAATATACATTTAAAACATCTAGAATGGGTAAGTAGGAATGCACAAGGATGTAAAGGCACATGTGGGTATTATATATGCTCATAATTTTGTGCTAACAATTTCATGGGTGTGCATATATAAGCTAACACAAAGGAATACTTTCAGCCTATGCAATGTGTTGTACAGCAACTGTATCTCAATATATCTATTAAAACAATGATTCCATTTGCAAAGATTTCAGAGGTATTTGGATTCTCAGATGAAAGCAAGGATTTATGGAAAGGGAGTATTTAGAGAAAATTTTGAGGAAACAAGACTAAATTTCACAAAAGTTCCCTGGAAAGATGGGAGGTGACACGCTGAAAGGAGTGGGTCACCACCAGTGTACACAGAGCAAAATGGGACAAGAGTCTGCCTGGAGATGATGCAAAAAGCCTTGGACTTGCAACAGAAACTAAGATAACAAGGTTATTTTATGGTGAACTGACCAAACCTGATGGGCTCGGATTGTCACTTGTCTGCTTCTCTGGGTCAAATATCCCAGAATAGCCTGTCCATCTGCTTCTTGGAGATGCAGGATGATGAGAGGGGTTGCCAGGATGCTTTCCAGAGGATTCCAGCTGGTAAGCCACATCTGGCTTACTACTTCCCAGCTCTTCCTGGGCTTTGTGGATGCTTAGGGGAATCAGGATAAAAAAGATCTCCTGACTCTTGTCCTGGTGTCTCTGTAGATAAACACACTTTAGAGAGGGCTGCCATGGAAGCTGAGCAGGGTTCGTTTGCAGGACTGGGTTAAAAGGGAAAGGTGGCACTGCCAGGCTGCTCCACAGGGCCCCATGTGGAGAGTATCAAGGAGGTCTTGTGTAACCCATGTCAGCTGTTTCTTTCTCTAGGGCTCAAGGCCTATGGGGAACTGCAAGTTCTTCTACCAGCAACCAGCACCAGCAAATGTTTCAGGTTGTTCAAAATGTGCGAGGAGATACTAGAGGTTGCTTATTATCTATTTTTGCCAAGCAAGTCCCATCTTGGTTCAGGCTTACTCTGGAGACAGAATAGTGAATACTGTGCTTAATTCTGTTGTTTATATAGCTACTGTGTTTCTCTGTGCTTTGCCACATCTCTGCCACGTTGCATACTAGTGGTCTTGCCTCAAATGCTCCAGTCTTTGTTTTGGTCTTTGGCTGTGGACATGCCATGCACCTCTAGTTATCCATCTTGCTGATGTCATTTCTAGATATTATTTTATTTTTGGAATCTGGAGACCCCCACAATAAAAAATGAAAATTCATGAAGTATCAGCAATATAATAGTTGTCTCTTGCTATATTGTGGTTTATCTATTGCTACTGCAATGATTTTCACCAAGTGTGGGGTCTCTGGAGCATAACTCCCATGATAGGTGAAGGATCACTATGTTTTGTTTTTCTTAAAAAAAAAACCCTGTGATACAGTGAAGCTACAATAAAATTAACCATGATATAGCAAGGGACAATTATATAATCAAACAGTTTTTTAAGTTGCCTTAAAATAACTTTAAAATGGAACTAGGAAATGTGAGGGGATGTTGGGGTTTGGAGAGATGGAAATATCAGAAGTAACTATAAAGAAAATACTGAAGACTGTTCACAAAAGGCTCCAATTAACCAAGGACAGGTCAATTGAGTACTAACTGTAATGGACTGAAACACAAGTACATTTAAATTCATAATAACTAGAGTCCATAATAACCAGATGACAGAAAACCAACTATTTCAAAAAGGCAAGGCAAGGCAAACAATCCAGCTTTTTCCCTACCAACTATACTCTAGGTAATCAAATAGTAAGGACACATTTCTTTACATTTCAGCAGATGAGAATCTGAGTATCATCTGCAGTCCCTAATGATATAATGAAGCAAAGGTAATCAATGATTGTAAATGTCACAAAATGACAATCCACAGTGTCTTCTCTTGAAAGTATAATAATACTGTACATGACATATTCTTGCTAAAACTTTAATACTGATTTTGAAAGCCTTTATATTTAACACATGTCAGGAAAAAGAACAACTTACTAAAGTGACACCATGTAACAAAACTAAGTTTGCAGGAAACTCAACATGTGGTTACTTGGGGATACATTTTCTATTCTCTTACCTTTTATTACAAAATTAAAGAAAATGCTGCTGAATGGAATTTTAAGATATGAAATTTATCTATATAAATTCCTCCAAGGTTCCCTTTTGCCCAACAAACTGGTGGATTTAACTATTAATTTTTCCATCACTGTTCCACATGCTGATCTCCAACTGCAATCTCCTTTAATTTTTGCTTCATTATTTCCAAATGGAATGTAGTCTTCTCTCTCATTTCAGCCTAGAAAATTTAACCCAACCTTCAGTCCTTGCTTCAGGCAAAAGATGACTCAACTTTTTAAAATAATTTTAAAAGTGAAAGGAGTCTGAATTTGGAAGTTTTTCTTAAGTAAATCATCTTTTAGAAACCTCAATGTATAATTCATGAAAGAAGCAAAAAGTCCAGTTACTTTTGATGAGGTGCAGCCAGGTGTCTTTCCAGAAAGTATCCCTGACTAAAGAAAGAAAACCACTAATATATACTTTATCTTTGAAAGATAAAAGACCTGAGCTTAGTTTACGATATTCACAGTCAGAAAGGCCAATGTTTGGTTCCATATCCATCTCCTGACATAGGAGGCTCTTACACTGCTTTCTCCCTGCCCATCTCCTTTATCCCTTTCAAAGTCCTTCTTAATATTTCTGCTTAGGTGTGTTTCCTTGATCTATACCAAAACACCAAATATAACTGAGTGTCCCTACTACCTAGACAGACTCGCTAACTACATGTTGAAGAATAGTAGTATTTACAACATTGTGTCTACAAAGTAACTGGTATATTTATCTTCTCAAAGTATACCTTTCTTGAGGAAAGAAATTGTCTTTTATTGCTTTTCCTTGCAGGGCCTTTTCCTAATTAGATAGACTTGCAGAAACAAATATGGTCATGTACACTAAGTATAATGTAAGATAATGGCAAAATATCCATTAATGAGAAGGACCAAGAAAAGGTGAAAGCTTTGCTTTTTCAAAGTCAATTTTACTATCAAGGATAAGTAAAACAACAGAAATATAGACTGAAAAATTGTGATAAAAGGAAACTGCCTAGAGTAAAATGATTTTTAAAAATAGATAAGGAAATTTTAGTTGGAGCACAAAACAATAGATCATGTAATTGACTGAAATGGAATTTAATATATTTATCAATCCATATGAAACTGCCTGTATTTGTCCTTTACAATCTATATAAAAAAAGCAACTTTTCAAAGGAGGAGGTAACAATGCTCATTAGGAAATGTACTCATTATCTTACTCATATAACTGTAACCTTTCTGTACAATATCTTTACAATAAAAATATATACTAAAAACAAAAGCAACCTCACAGAGTTCATGCTGATAATAGTAAGTAGAATCCAGACCACAGAATGAAATCAGTATGTCTTTCCAGAATGGATTCACTGTTCATCGACTAAATCCTATCGTACTTTAAAAATAGAGTACAAAAGCACCTACATCAATGTCATCTGAGATTACTATAGTTCAGATAGGGCAGGGTGTGAGATAAATTTAGTAAAACTCCAAGGAAAGAAGACCAACTCTGAGCATCAATAAGTTATAGAAAGGCAAAGAATAGGGTAAAGAAACTAAACTATGGGGTAATTTACAATTTCACTAAAGATACGTATTTTAACTCAAGCAATTATACTTTTCCTTTCCATCTAATTGCTGTATAAATATAGACACAAAGCTAATAATTTTTGCTATAATTTAAAGCATTTGTGAAGATCCTGTTAAACATGATAATTACCACACAATTTCCTAGCTTAAGATTTTTCTGATTTTTATATGTGCAATTTACCTTTAAAAAGTTTTTTTAGATCATAATTTTTACCGTCATCTAGCATTGTGACTGGCAAATATGAGACACTCAATGGCCTGCTGAATAAATCAAGAAATAGAATTATTATTTTTATTCTTGGCTTTCATTTTTAATTTGAAAAAATTTGAGCAAGACAGCAGAACACAACGTAAAGTAGTGTAACTGTGGAGAGATTTCAAACAAAACTGGAAATTCTCTTTTAAACTACAAAAATTAGAAAAATACAAAATGTCTACATAGTGAATGAATCAAGTTATTCTTTTTACCAAAAAGTAAAAAAAAAAAATCCCGTGTTTAAATATAAGTTGACATAAATATCCATAAGTTTTTGTCAATATCTAAATGTTTCTATTGCAAGACTCTCTAATTGCAAAATATGAAAACCTCAGTATTTTAAAAACATTTTAACCAGCCAAAACACACCAAAAAATAAAAGATTTTTAATATGACAACGGATTGTCTATTTCACATACTAAATTTCTCTATACAGGAAGATTTCACAATCCAGGAGCCATAGCCATGTTGTTGTAAGTAGGATTTCAATAAAATTTTAGCTTCTTGATAGGATGCAGACATACACTAGAGAGAGAAAAAATCAAATTATATCATATTGGTAGAATTTGACCTACATAAACTTAATTGCTTTATTTTACATTAATAAAATGAAATTGAATTCCTACTTTCTCAACTTTTTTTTCAGTGCTGTGATCTGTCTCAGGGTCTATGCTTGCAAGGCATTCCCCCAATTCAGCCATGTCCCAACCCTTTATGTTTCTGGTTACTTTTCATATAGGTCTATGTTTCAGACTATGATCCTCTTATGCCTCCCATCATCACCAAGATACTGGTTGAGAACGAGGTGTTGTTAACATTTTTCCTGGGCTAGGCTCAAACCATAAACTTCTCAATTTCCTCCTCAATAGCTGGGATTACAGGCATGCCCCTTACCATTCCAACCTCTCAATGTTATTACCATTTGGGATTGGAATTTAGGGCTTCATTCTTGCTATGGAGATACTCTAGTCACTTAAGCTATGCTCCAGATCTAACGAACATTTAGAAAGCTACCTTTTATGGTAGCTTTCATAAAAGTTACCAATTTTAACGGTATAGTTTGGTGATTTGTGCTATTGAGGTATGCAGATATCACCACAATTTAGTTATAAAACAAATCCACTGGGTGATATTAATCAAGATGTATTTGTACTTACGTATTTGTTTCAGCTTTCTTTTAGTTAGCATAATGTTTTCTAATTTACTCATGTAGTTTCATTTATCAGTTGTTTCTTTTTACTACTAATATTCCATGGATTAATGGATTAATATTCCATGTGGAATATTAATCAGTAGTAAAAAGAAACAAACTACTGATAAATATGGAATATTAATTATACATTCATCAGCTCATTAACATATATATATAGTTAGCAGTTGTCAACTATTATAATGCTGTTATGAACATTCACATTAAGATCTTTTTTTTTTTGTCGGTCATGGGGCTTGAACTCTAGGCCTGGGCGCTGTCCCTCAGCTCTTCAGCTCAAGGCGAGTGCTCTACCACTTGAGCTACAGCGCCACTTCCGATTTTCTAGTGGTTTATTGGAGATAGGAGTCTCACGGTCTTTCCTGCCCGGGCTGGCTTTGAACCGCGATTCTCATATCTCAGCCTCCTGAGTAGCTAGGATTACAGGCGTGAGCCACCGGCGCCCGGCTCACATTAAGATCTTTATGTGAACATAAATTCAGATGCTGGTAACAGTGCTGGTCATATGTTAAATATTTATCTCTTTAGAAAGGCAAAACAGCAACTGCTTTCTTAAGTGGTTTGTAGTGTTTTTCATTCACACTGAAAATGCAGAAACAGCACCCAGTTTAACCTCCCTAGTGATTAACAAGCCTCAATACTTTTATATGTTCATTAATCACTTACAAATATGCTTTGGCTTTTTAAAAACAACTGTACTATTTGCCCTAGTACTAAATTTTAAGAGTTTAAATATTATAGTTTATAAATATTATAAACATATATATTTAAATAGTGTTTAAATAGTGTATTAAGTATACTGTTAGATGCTTTGCTGATGTTTTCTCAGTCTCTGGCATGTCTTTTCTCTCAATAACTTTTAAAGTTTTTTTCTTTAGGGGTCATGTTGTTTGGGTTATAAGAATCATTATTTGAGAATGTAAATATTTCCCCACATTTAGAAATTATACAGTGTAACTCTTATGGTTTGAGTTTAGATGTTGTCTTTTGATAAACTGAAGATTTGTGGCAGTCTGCACTGAGCAAGTCTGTCACCCACCATCTTCTCCAAGCAGGTGCAAACTCCATGTTCTCTGTGTTTCAATAGGTCAACACTTGAAAAATTTCACTTTTTGTCTATTGTGATATTTGGTGTTACAAATGTAATTTTCTGAAGTGCTATAAATTACACCCATTTAAGACAATACATATGCTGGCTGTGTTCTGACTGTTCCACTGAGTATTTCCCCATGTCTCTTCACTCCCTCAGGCCTCCTTATTTATTCTCTGAGACACAGCAATTCTAAAATTAGGCCAATTTTGGGGGGTGGAGGAGGATTGAGTGAGGATCGAGTATGGAAAGGGATGGGAAGGGGAAACAAAGAGGAGGCAACAATGCTTGATAAGAAATGTACTCGTTATCTTGCCCATGTAATTATAACTCCTCTGTACGGTATTCTCACAATAAAAATAAATAAAATAAAATTAGGCCAATTTGCCGGGCGCTGGTGGCTCACGCCTGTAATCCTAGCTACTCAGGAGGCTGAGATCTGAGGATCGCGGTTCAAAGCCAGCTCGGGCAGGAGAGACCCTGAGACTCCTATCTCCAATAAACCAACAGAAAACCGAAAGTGGCGCTGTAGCTCAAGTGGTAGAGCACTCGCCTTGAGCTGAAGAGCTGAGGGACAGCACCCAGGCCCAGAGTTCAAGCCCCATGACCAACAAAAAAAAAACAAAAACAAAATTAGGCCAATTAAATCCTAAGCAGCCTGTAAGTCTTCAAGTGAAAGAGTCATATGTCTCTCATTCAATGGCCAGAAATAAATAATCATAGTGAGGAAAGTATGTGAAAAAACCGATGCAGGCCAAAGTTGTGAATGCAAAGATGTTCTTTAAGGAGCACTCCAATGAAATCATGAGTGGTAGGGAACCAAGCCAATGCTGATGTGGAAAAGGTTTTGGTGTCTGAACAGAACAGAACACATTTTCTTAAGCCAAAACCTAATCCAAAGCAAGGCCCCAACTCATTAAGGCTTAGAGAAGAGCTACTAGCAAAGTGGATTACAAACTCAAAGAAAGAAGCCAACTCTATAACATACAAGTGCAAGGTAAAACAGCAAGTACTCCTGCAGAAACTTCAGTAAACACCCTAGAATATCCAGTTATGGTGATTCATGAATATGACTAAACACTTTTAAATTAGATGATGTCATCTGGAACTTTAAGAAGTCAATGCTTAAAGTTGCAAAACACAGGCTGAATCTTTTGTTGGGGTATTATTATAGCTATTAACTTTAAGTTGAAGCAAATATTCATTTACCACTCTGAAAAACCAAAGATATCTTTAAGAATTTAAGCTGGGTGTAGTGACCCACATCTCTAATCCAAGATATTCAGGAGACTAGAAAGATCTTAGTGTGAGGTCAGCCCAGGCAGAAAGTCAGTAAGCTGTCCACCTCAGCAAAAAAGCTAGGATTGGGGCTCCTCCCCAGGTAGGAGGATTTTGAGTTAAGGCCAATACTGGGCAAATATTAAGAGCAACTAAAGAAAAGGACTGGAGGTGTGTCTCAAGTGGCAGAGTGCTTGCCTAGAAAACTCAAGATCCTGAGTTCATATCTCAGTACAACCAAATACCACCAGAAACCAAGTTATACCAAATCTCTTCTTATGATTTATAAAGGGAACAATAAGCTATATAACATATGTTTACAATACAGTTTAATGAGTACTTTAAGCTCACAGTTGCCACCAATTAGAAAAAAAGATTAATTAAAAAATATTACTGTTCATTGTCAGTTCATCTGATCAGAGTTTATGACAGAGATGCAATAACATTTATTTTCATGTGCATCTCATGGAGAAGAAGTTACTCTGACTTTAAGGAACAAGGTCTTACTATGTAGCTGATGCTGGCCTTGAACTCATGATCCTTCTGCCTCCACCTCCTGAATGAAGAGATTGGAGGCATTCATCACATGGATTATTCTTGAATAGTTCAAGACTTAAAGGGTACAAGAAGAGTAGCTGAAGATATGGTAGAAACTGCAAGAGTACTAGAGAGGTAACTTGCTACAATCTCATCATAATGCTAATAATAAATAAAGAGCTGTGCTGATGTAGGAGCAAAGACATTTCTATTGATGAATCCTTTCCTAATGAAGAATCTATAAACACTCCTGAAATGGCAACAATGGACTTAGATTACTTAAACTTAGTTGATAAAGCAGAAACAGGGTTTGAGAAGATTAACTCCAATTTTGAAAGTTTACTTAGAATAAAATGCTACAAATCAGTACTATATTGTACAGAGAAATCTTTCATAAAGCAAGAGACAGTTAATGTGACAAACTTCATTGTTTAAAAAAACTGCCACAGCCAACCACTAGTAAGTTTCAAATTGGGCTAGCACTTGCCTCCAATCACAACTACAACCTTATATCTGCAAAATTATCAGTTTTCTCTATTCATTTTCTATGAAATTTGTCACTTAAAGCTTTAAAACTTTAAGCAAGGGATTGTTGCGGCTTATACCTGCAATCTGGACACCTGGGTAAAGAAATCAGGAAGACTGTGGTTTGAGGACAGCCCAGGAAAAAAAGTTACTGAGATTTCATCTCAACAAAGTAGTTGGTTGCTATAGTATGTCCCATGGTCCTAGTTATACAAAAAGATAGGAAGATCATGGTTCAAGGCCAAATTCAAGACCTTATCTAGAAGGTAGATTAAGTAAAGGGAGGCATGGCTCAAAGGGTAAACTGCCTTTCTAGCAAACACTAAGATTTGAGTTCAAACCCCAGAACCCCACAGAAAACAGTGCCCTTCATTAATTTTATGTCCTTCATTTTCAGAGTTGCAAAACGATGCTTCCACATTATTTTCAAGTTCTAAACTTGACTTTATAGAAAAATCTGTATGTTACCAACTCAGAAAAAAATTGGATAAACTTTTACACAATAAATATGTGGGTGGATATATACATATATGTGTAGTTAATATAATTGCTTTACCAGTTGGAATAAAAAGTACTGGTGAAATTAAGAAACTGCCACACAATATTAGATTATTAAAAATTAGTTATCAGTCAGTGGCTCCCACCTGTAAGTCTAGCTACTCAAGAGGCTGACATCTGAGGATCTTGGTTCCAAGCCAGTGGAAGGGAAAGTCCATGAGATTGTTATCGTCAATAAACTACTAAAAAAGCTAGAAGTGGAGCAGTGGCTCAAGTGATAGAGCACTAGCCTTGAGCAAAAACAGCTCAGGGGCAGCATCAAGTCCTTCAGTTCAAGCCCCAGGACTGGCACAAAAAAAAAGTATGTCAAAAACAATTTGCAGCTGGACACTGGTGGCTCATGCTTGTAATCCTAGCTACTCAGGAGGCTGAGATCTGAGGATTGCGGTTCAAAGCCAGCCCAGGCAGGAAAGACTGTGAAACTCCTATCTCCAATAAACCACCAGAAAACCGGAAGTAGCGCTGTAGCTTAGCCTTGAGCTGAAGAGCTGAGGGACAGCGCACAGGCCCAGAGTTCAAGCCCCATGACTGACAAAAAAAAAAAATTCTGTGTAATATTTGAGAATGATAACATGGAAGTATAGATATGTCATAGTGAATAAAAAAGTACTCTAAATTTTTACAGTATAAACTTACATTATACATATATACACAAGAGGAAGCTGAAGTATATTTACAAGATTAAATAAGCACATAATCTTTGAATAGTACACAAGGGATTAAAGTAATACATATATGAATACATCTATAACTCATATAAACATATGCATAAGTATATATACATGCATATGTACAGAAATATACATACTTCTGTGTGTGATGGACATTAAACCCAGTGGAGGGCTTTATGCCTATCCTCTGTATTTTAAAAGCATTTCCAAAATTTCTGCTTTAAGCATATCATTATTTGTATGAAAAACCCAAATATTTTATATAGAGAAAAAGTTAGCTCTAAACAACCTGCCAAGTCAGGTCTGAGTGAGATAATGGGATTAAATCCTTTTCACAACTTAATAAGAAAATCAATTTACCCAGAAATCCCACTTTTGGGCATTTGCCCAAATGATCACAAACAAGGCTATACTAAAGGTACCAGCACAACTATGTTTATTGCAGCATTATTTACCATAGCTAAGATATGGAACCAACTCAGATGCCCCTCAGTAGATGAATGGACCAAGAAAATGTGGTATATTTATACAATGGAATTCTATGCCTCCATCAGAAAGAATGACATCACGCCATTTGTTTAGGAAATGGAAAGATTTGGAAAAAATTATATTAAGTGAAGTAAGCCAGGCCAGTAAGAAACATAGGTCCCATGGTTTCCCTTATTTGCAATAACTAGTATAAGTCTAGGACAAGCAAAACAGTCCAAAAGCTATGTACATATGACCATATAAGATATTAATGAAGTGAACCCCAAGATAGACACACAACTTGTTTTTTCTTTCTTGCTATTTTAAATGTATTTAAAATGTACTATGTGATTTTTTTTGTTTCTCTTGTATGTTCTTCCCCCATGGTATAATCCCTGTTTTCACTGTATTTGATGTCAGTGCCCTGCATCTTGTATATACATTTTTCTAATTTGGGAAGGGGAAGGGAAATAACAAAATGCTGAAATAAGGATACAGGTTGACCAGTTGTAACAATGAGATATTTAAGACACTATGTTGAAAATGAACTTTACAACTTGGGGGGGGGGGGGGCTGGAGGGGAGAGCTGGGAAGGTGGGGTGGGAAAGTATGGTAGGGGTAAAACAAAGGAGGAGATAACTATACTCAATAAAAATGTACTCATTACCTTAGTCATGTAATTGTACCCCTCTGTATACTAATTTTACAATAAAAAGCATAACAAAGAAAAATCAACTTATATGAATCTCAAATTATTAATAAATTATCTTAGATACCATTCTATAGTGAGCACAATGTATATCCAGAAAAAATGTGGTATTATTTTGTTTCTCTGGTTATGACATAAAAAGTTCTAGTCAATAATGTGTGAATAAGTGTATACTACACTGAACTGGTAAGTGATAAACATCTATGTATCTAATTTCTGGCACATTCACTTAACAATGATTCTACTGTTGTATGGTAATACAACTACTCAACAAATTTTTGATATGTTAAATCATCACTAAATTACATTACTGGTTTTAATTTTATGTCTATGACCAACTTTACCTTTTTAACAATATTACCTTAGCTTCGTGGTATGTACTAGCTTCAAGTAAACCATCCTTTTTAGCTTCCTTGGCTAGTAGATTGAATCGACTTAACATTGCAGCCTTACAAAGCCGGCTTGCCATTGACACACCACTTTTAAATGGGGAACTAAGGTAGAAAAAATGAAACAGGAACCATTTTTGATTGATGCTGATAACTGAAAGAATTAAAATAACAGTCTACAAATATTGAATCATGTGCAATGAATTTAGTGAAACTTTTTACATATAAAACATTCTAAATATTTACATTCTAAATATTCTGGGTTTAACTTGTTATAGTATTGTGTCAAAAATTAATACAGATGATGTGATAGTTTAGACACAGCTGTTCTTTGAAGCAAAGTTATGTACGGTGATATAAAGTATTTTTAAGTGATTCTGCTAGGACTGACGGGAAAGGAACATGGAAATATTCCCTGAATTAATGAAAGTATTTGGCTTGGGTATTGGGTTACATGGGTAAATATATCCAATCACAGAATTGCACAGTGTATTTCTCTACAAATGTTAATTTAACAAAAAAGAACAGCTGGGTATTGTGGCTCATGCCTGCAATCATACTTGAGAGGTTGAGATCTGCGGATTGTGGTTTGAAGCCAGTCTGGGCAGGAAAGCCTGTGAGATTCCTATCTCTAACTACCAAAAAGAGAAGTAGAGCTGTGGTTCGAGTCATAGAGCACTAGCCTTGAGCAAAAATTCTCAAGGATGGTGCCAAGGTCCAGAGTTCAAGGCTTGGGATCACCACAAAATAAAAAACCAAACATATGTACACTTATTTCATGACCCTCTTTATATGTGTACATATATGCATTTATATTTATGCATAATATTTTATTTCCAGCAAAAGTGGGACCACTGATCTTAAGTCTTTTGGTATTATTATGATTATAAAACCTGCAAAAACCCTTCCTCTTCTCCAGACTCTTTAAAAATGTAACATCTAAGATTCACCCATCAATAGGTATTCGTTTCCCTTTCCTTGAATTTGTGCTAGCTACGTGATTTGCTTTGGTGAACATATGATGTGTAAGTTCTGAATGTAGCCTCAAGGGACCTTGTGCTCTTTCTTGACTCCTCCAAGTTTCATATAAGCTTGCTGGGACTAGTCTTTTGGAGGGTAAGAGAATAGTGCCAGATCAGGTTCTCTAAAATCTTTTTTTTTTTTTTTTGGTTGGTCATGGGGCTTGAACTATGGGCCTGGGTGCTGTCCCTGAGCTCTTCCGCTCAAGGTGAGTACTCTCCACTTGAGCCACAGTGCCACTTCTGGATTTTTCTGTTTATGTGGTACTGAGGAATCAAACCCAGGACTTCATGTATGCCAGGCAAGCACTCTAATGCTAAGCTACATTCTCAGCCTTAAAATCTTTATTTGATGTAAAGTTGATGCCAGATGCATGGAGGAGTCCAAACAAATCCTGAAGGAACAACTCAGCTAACTCAAGAACTTGTGAGTTGTAAGTTAACTAATTGATAAGTAGTTGCTGCTTTAAGCCATAAAGTTTTGAGATTGTTTATATGCAGAAAAAGTTAATATACATTCATGTATATGAAATCCATCACTCGTTTTGAGAGATTTTCAGGGAGATTTATTGTACTTTTTGGATGTAAGTGATACCATCTTGAAAGACTTGTAAGGCCCTGGGTTCAAGTTCAGGACTGAAAAAATGTGGTAGTCTTGTTTCCTTTTTTCCCCAACATTTTAATCTCGTTTCCACTGTATAAAATGTTATGTAATTAGCAAAAACAGTAAACAATCAAATTTTTCCCTAGTTATTAATGGTAATGCCTCTGACATTTTATCAACCATCATGACAGTATTTTTTGACTAACAATGCTATACTTTATCCTGTAACAAAAGCAGCTAACTATTCCTTTTTTACTACCTTTATCTAAGAAGAGATACAAAACTTTATTAATATTTTTGGACTACTAATGAATATATAGCATTTTCTCTGGACCAAGTAATGTGATAATTTATATAGTTTCCAATCTCATATTTCTATTATTTACTATTCTTGTATTTCTATAAAAATGCCAATTGACTTTATCATATCAATATATTATTAATGCACTGCTAAGTACAGTTTTCTAATTTTTTACTTAATGATTTTGCATAGATACAAGTAAGCTTTATCTGTAACTTTCATGTGCATATTAGCGGGGGGCAGCTATCTTTTATTAGGTTCATAAAACTATTTGGATATTTTCTGGATATTTACTGACATATGTTTAAAGAAGAACCCTCACAAAGCAGAAGCAGGAAGATTAAAGTTCAAGGCTAACGTAGGCTACATAGCAAGATCCCATATCTCAAAAGACCAATATAATTTCAAAAATTAAAAAAAAATACAGAAAACAACTAAGACCTTTAGGTTCTGTTTTCTATATTTTTGTTTTTAACTTTTAAATTTCTTCTTATTGTGCCATCATTTTGTTTTCACTAAAGTCTTTAAATGTACTGCATAGAAAACCTGTTTTGCTTACGCATAGCTGAAGTCTGTCATATGATCCAAAACAGAAATAATGAAATTCATTTTAAAGTAATTAATATTATGCTTGACTGAGTTAGTACCAAAAACACTTCCATGTGGCCTTAACAGAACTCTCACCTTCAGAAATGACATTACTCCTTGCCTCATTATAAATTCATATTTACAACAAAGGAAAGGTTTTAGTTTTATTGATAAGAACTGACAGGGAAATTATCTAGAAATGTCTAGAAGGCATAGAGCAATATGGTTATGAGCAAGGACTTTGGAAATATTCAGATCAAAATCCTAGCCTGTGCCTGTTACTACTTAGGTGACCCCTAGGGAAAATATGTGACCTAACTTGAGCCTTGTTTCTTTATATGCAAAAGAAGAATAAGACCACTTAAATGGCATGGCTATTTTAAGGAGGCACAACAGTTCTTACCTTGAAGTGTACATAATATTTGGGAGTATGTGTAAAAAAGTGTAGAGTCTTAGGCTCCACATCCAGAAATTCATTTGGGTAAGAGAAACAATTTTTAGAAAACATTGTGTGATTCCAATGCTAATGGTCACAAAATTACACCAGAATATATGCAAGTTCTGGAGTCAGAACTTAGATTCCTCAAGTCTGAACGCTGACTTCACAACTCACTGTGTATATTCAGTAAATGATGTAATTTTTGTAGGCCTGTTTCTCACCAGAAAAAAAGATTTTAATTACAACTTTGCTTGCAAAACATTATACTCTATTATTCAGATTCTTTCTTCTCATTACTATATGATTTTGTAGAAATTAACAATTCTAACCTTTCAGTGATCTTCCCACTCAAGCCATCCACGATTTCCAGAGAAATGTCTCCTTGCGCCCAATTCATGCTCAGGGATTTATAGTCCAGGTTCATTTGAAGTGGATATGCAGAGGGTACTAAGCTGATATGAGGTCTGTTAACCAAGTAAAACATTGGAAGTTTTGAAGTAAGTGCATCATCGACACGCTGGTTAATTGCAATTTCTAAACCGCGAGTATCACTGCAATTCCCGTCACCTATGAAACAAAGACAAAAACAAAAACTTAAGAAAATCAGTATCAAAGGAAAATAATCCATCATCAAAAAAAGAAAAAAAGATAGAAATAAATATTTGGAAATTATCTGAAGTCCACTTCTCTATTGTTTATCTTTCAACCTTTTCTTTCCTACTTCAATGTTCGTAGCAGCCCTTTATTACACTTTACCAAAACCAGAACAATGACAGTTTGCATTTTTAAAGACTCTTATAAAGAAAAAATACTATTTGGTAAATAAGCAAGTGCTGACTCTGAAAGAAAATGGTACTCTTATAGGGTTTCTGCCAGAGAATTGGCACATTCTGTCCTGATTTCTTCTGATTACAGCGTGGTATCAAAAAAAGAATGCAGCATATAAACCTGGCATTGAGGGAAAGCATAATTTTCTCTCTTTGGGCCATAAATTACAACTATTCTAGTACCACCATGCTCCAATTTTACAACACTAATTGGAAGAATGAGCATTTCTGGCTAAAATGGAGGCTAAAACTAAAAACTTTTTTGGTGAGAGGGAAGTTTACATTCAGGCCCTCACTTTTGATAGGAAGTACTCTACTACTGAGCCAACCTTAAAGACCCCTCTCCCTTTTTGTGTCAACCTTAGAGCTTGACTGGACCTGGGTAATATCCCTGAGCTTTTCTTGCTCAAGACTAGGGCTCAATCACTTGAGGCACAACCCCACTTTGGACTTTTTTTTAGTGATTATCTGGAGAGTCTCAAGGACTTTCCTTCTGGATCTGGCTTCAAACCACAATATTCAGAGTAGATAGGACTACAGGCATGAAACACCAACAGCCTGGCTCCAAAGCCCAGTTTTTCTCTTGTTTATCAGATAGTATCTTCCACCTTTTCCTCTGATCTAGCTTGGTCCATGATTCTCCTTTGTATGTAATAACTGAGATCTCAAAAAGATGCAATGCCATTTATATAAAATAATAACTGGCATCAAAATAAGAGTTAGGAAGTCCTTATCTCTATTTAGAAAACAGTTTTAAAGAAGTTTCTTTTTTCTTATATATCATTAAACATGCTTTACAAATAGTCTTGTTTCAGCATTGGAATTACTGTGATATTTAGTAGGACTTGCACACTAATTATGACTATCTGGAGGCATTAGAAAATGATCCAAAACCTCCTTTTGAGGGTTCAACCAAGAGGAAATAACAAATAAAGGCTAGCCATATTTTATTGGAAATCTTACTCTTTTCCTTTACATATGAATGTTTCAATGATTTGTTCATTGTAGTATTTTTTATTATATTTCAAGCTTGAACCTCAGACCTAGAAAAACATATTTTTAAAGTTATGTCATGCATGTAATTGGGAAATTTTGAGTCATCAATAAGATCTTAAATAATATGAAATTCAAAAGACTAAAGTCAAAGGTTAAACCTGATGTAAACATCTGTTTATTAAAAACAGATCCACCAACAATGTAAGAAGTTATGAACTAGGATTGAGGTCAAACGCTGCCAATAAATAAGTTGAACCTTTGAATAGAATAATATCCTGAAACTTGATTTACTGATCAGAACAATGAAGAAAAAGGACTGAATAACAGAATCACTAAAGTTACCCATTAACTCTTCCTAGTTCATAAACGTGTTTGTCTTAGATTTCTTTGTTAGGAAGAATCAGTATAATTCTAAAAAATCAATATTTGAAAAGGACTTCTGGATGGAGTCCTTTTACTTCTAAAACATTCTTAAAATATTTAGACCAATGAACTAATTTTAGTAGTGTCTAAATCTAATTTGTAAAATTTACCCTTTAAATGCCTGAAAACAAACATAAATCCTGCAATTTTCAATATCCATGCAAAGTCAAATTTTCAAAAATTATTCTGGCTCAATTTTCTATCCAGATAATAGTAAATGCCTTTTTGAGTTTCGGGTAAGATGATGTTGTATCACATGAGTTGTAATGACAAGTTACAATAAAGCAAAGACCTCAGCAAAACGATGTGTTTCAATCAACCTTAAAGTTTCATAATGCAAAAGCTGATTTTATACTGTTGAGAGAGAGAATATATTTGGTGAAAGAAGCTTAGAGATTGACATCCCACTCACCAACAAGTATACTGCTGATATAAACTGGCTGTATAAAATGGCTCAGCAATGCTCCCTGTACCCCAAGCACTTCCCATCTTGTCAACTTGTCACTTGAGGACATACTGTTTACTCTATTAACAACATCTGCAGAACAGTAAACAGTCAAAAAAATTTTGCCTTCAACAGCCACATGGAGACTCAATTCTTCATTGGCTTCAAATGCAGAAACAGAATGTGGATTAAGACGTCTAGAGAGAAAGAAAAAAAATTCTTTGTTCAACAGAGTTTCAAGGTAAGCATGTATGTACCAATATGCCAGCATACATTTAATTCAGGTAACACAAACAAATGCAAACAAAAAGTAGGACTGACCATTCCAAAGACTACTGGAGCTTCAGCATGGTTAATTTTTTTGTTATGATTTTTATGTCCTTTACAATCAAATAAAAAAATCCCTATCAGGGGCTGGGAAGGTGGCTCAGTGGTAGAGCGCTTGCCTTGCATGCCTGAGGCTCTGAGTTCGATTCCTCAGCACTACATAAGCAAAAAGAAAAAAGCCAGAAGTGGCACTGTGGCTCAAGTGGTAGAGTGCTAGCCTTGAGCTGAAGAGTTGAGGGACAGCACCCAGGCCCAGAGTTCAGGCCCACGACCGGACCGCCCCCCCCCCCGCAAAAAAAAATCCCTATCATAATTTGTTAGCTATTCTTGCCTCAGTAATGAAAAAAATTAGACTACAAGATGACCAAACAACAACAAAAAGAAAATCTTTTTAATAAAGACTAACAAAGCTAAAGTAAAATGCTTCAATAAAGTGTAAAATTATTTTTTCTTTTTTAAAATTTTTATTTTATTGTCAAGGTGATATACAGAGGGGGTTGCAGTTACACACCCTAGTGAACACTGCCTTTATTTTCAAAGCTGCTAGTATATTTTTTATCAGAATATCATCGTAAGGTTATCTCTAGATGGTCCATCTTGAAATAAATTTCACTTTCTTCTTTGTGTTTGTACTTAAAAAAATAACTGGCAATATGGGGGTTTCAACTCAGAGCCTTACCCTTATTTAGCTTTACTTGCTAAGCTGGTGGTTCTTGTACTTTAAACCATATCTCCATACTGGCTTTTTTATTGTCACTTTTGAAGTAAGAGTTTTTGTTGTCTTTTCTGCCTGCAATGACTTCAAGCCATATTCTTTCAATGTTAGTTACCTGAGTAGCCAGGATTACAGACATAAGCCACTAACATCCAGCTCCACTGTTTACATTTTACAGTATCTGACACTACTCATCATCAGCTACACTTTTCTAAACTCCTGTATTGTATATGAATATTGCATAAAACCATACTCTAATGATATGTTAAAAATAGAAAAATCAGCATTATATAAAACAAAGTAGCAAATTATATGAAAATTTTAGGTATCTATCATAGAGTAAGACTTAATAATGTAAATATAGACAAATTTACTTTTTCTATTTGCTACAGGGATTCAGAACATACATAATAGCCAACCTCTGGTTTTTCAAAAACAACTTCCATCATGCTTACAATTGAGACTTAATCTGGGCTGATCCTTTAGGCAACTGGTTCATATAGAGATAAATGTTGATGTTCTGTTTCAAAGTAAGTAGACTAGAAGCTGGTTCTGTACAAAATATTGACTTTTCCATCATAGCAGGATTTTTGCTATAGAAGAGTAGAAGCTGTCTATAAAAGTACCTAAAAGAAATATCATAATTTTGTTAATATTTATTAAAGGTATATTTTAATAAATATCATATCAATATGTCATGGGCAATGCTCCTGTGTGTCTAAGGAAAACCTAACTCTCCCAAGAAAATCTCAACTAGAATCCAATCCCAATATAATCTCCTTTAAAACACCATTCCTTGACTACTACTACCTTCACATTCTGCAGAAGATTCATTTCTCTGCTGATTCTCCATTCTTCCTAAGATAATCCTCTCCCAGACTTCCATGTGAATACTCATCACTTTTTTTTGCCTTATTTCTATTTCCCTTCCCCCCCCAAAATCACTCCTACTATTTCAGTAACTTTATAACCAGCAGAAAGCAGCAGTGGTTCCTGGTTAATGTTGTATGTAAATATGTGTGTATGAAGATGGCACATGGCACCTATCAAATCATATATGGGAAGAGGGAAGGAGGGAATATAAATATGGCAGAAGGGATGAAGTTGTTCAAAGTGCACTGTGTGCATGATGTATAGAAATATCACAATAAAATCCCCCATGCAACAAATGTATGCTAAATCCAAAGAAAGAAAGAAAATAGAAAACAAAAAAAGAAAAATACAGAGCTTAGAGTAGTATAAGTACTCCAAGTCATTTTAACATAGGAAGACAATCTGTTAGAAGACTGCAACTAAGCAAATGAATGGTAAATATTACTTTTATTAAAAAAAAAGAACATGATTACTAAGATTATTCTACTTTCTCCCTTTAAAAATATCTAATAAGGGGGAGGGGGGAGGATTGGGTGGGGGGGGGAGGGGGGAGGTAGGGAAGGGATGTGAAGGGTAAACAAAGGAGGAGTCTGCAATGCTTGATAAGAAATGTATGCATTATCTTGCCCATGTAATTGTAACCCCTCTGTACAGTATGTTCACAAAAAAATAAAATTAAATTAAAAAATATCTAATAAAAATAAATGCCAGTATTTAATAATACCAAATATAGTAAAAATAAAAAATAAAACAGGTAATTTTACAGAGGTCAGGTGCTGGGCTCCAGGAGCTCACGCCTGTAATCCTAGTTACTAAGGAGGCTGAGATCCAAGGATCAAAGCCAGCCTCGGCAGGAAAGTCCATAAGATCCTTATCTCCAATAAACCACCAAAAGGCCAGAAGTAGAGCTATGGATCAAGTGGTAGAGCTTTAGCTTTGAGCAAAAGAGCTCAAGGGCAGTGTCTAGGCACTGAGTTCAAGCATCAGGACTGGCCCCAAAAAAAGGATCAGAGGGATCTGAAAAACTATGAATTTCTTCAATAACTTTTAAGATTATAAGGTTTATTTCCTATATAGAGTTAACATTCTGACATTTTTCCATTAAAATGTTTAACTCTGTTTTAAAAACCCTACAGTAATGACAACACTATTAACAAAATGAGGATGCAGAGGTTAAGGGAAAACAGAAGGTGTTAACTGTTCAAGGCAGATGATGGAATTTATTATCTTCTTCACGTTTTTATTTGAAAGCTTCCATAAGGAAAAGGTGGATGAAAGGAAAGCTTCATGGTTTAAGGGACCCAAAAGCTGACAATATTATTGTCCCATTGTTTTTATGTTTATATTTTATATGAAGAAACTTCTAAAGAATAACATTCCTGGCCCCTCTCTCTACTATTCTTTTTTTTCTGTGAGGAGTAAAACGTCTGCAAGTAAATAGGCATGCCTCTGTCCAGGCCTTTTCTCTTTCTCTTTCATACTGTCAACCTTATGTGTTTTCCTTTATGTAAACAATACACAAACCTCATAAATGAAAGCAATACATGGATCTCACGAATGCTTTCTTTGGAGAAGCATGGCTAATTTAGATACAAATGAGATCAAGCTTACTTGGGACAAATCTAAAACTTCACTTTTTAATAACTTTAGTCAGTAAGAAAATATGGCATTTTTATTTTTTGAAAGACGAGTATTCTTACATTTTACTTTATAAGACTTAATGGAAGCCATTAAAATCCATACACTGGACATCACAATTACCATGACAGTGACTCCAAAGGTAATATGAAAATAATGTCTCATATGCCCTTCTAAGAGACTTTTATGTGTCATTTTACTTATGTTAAACAGTCCACATATAAACAGTCCATTTTTTTCTTTCATTTCCCTGGCTCACTAGTCAGGAATATACCATTTTAACTAAAGGCCTTTGCATATGACAACTGTGAGCTAAAAGCATCAAGAGTTAAAGGCATTAAATATATCTGTCACTTTACCTAAGGAGAGACCTTCTTGCTGTAACAATTGCATGTGTGTCATGCAACACTCTTCCATTTGGCTTAATGCTCTGGCTATAATTGTATTCACCCGTGCCAATAGCTACAACCTCATGATGTCCAGCTGTGAAAGAAAAAGGTAAACAGTAACAAGTTATTCTAAACTCCTATGTTCCATCTCCACCTCTAAGTCTTCATTTCCAGTTGGGTAAAATTTATTGGCACAAAAATGGAAATAAAATTCCAGTTTCTGCAGAGACACAGAAAAGAAAAAGACTAAGCAAAACTCAAGTTGTAGTAACTGCTTTGAAAGAAACACAAATGGAACTACTAAGGGAAAAGATTGCTTCATGCCAAAACAAGTGCTGAATCCTTTTCCAAATAGCTAAAATTTGAAGATGAGATAAGAAGAGTTCCAATCAAAAGAAAGAGCACAGGGCTGGGAAGGTGGCTCAGTGGTAGAGCGCTTGTCTTGCATGCCTGAAGCCCTGGGTTTGATTCCTCAGCACCACATAAGCAAAAAGAAAAAAGCCGGAAGTGGCGCTGTGGCTCAAGTGGTAGAGTGCTAGCCTTGAGCTGAAGAGCTGAAGGACAGTGCCCAGGCCCAGAGTTCAGGCCCCACAACCGGACCCAAAAAAAAAAAAGAAAGAGCACAATATTACCATGTAGAACAAAGACTAATATAGCTGCTCCCATCAGTAGGATGCAGGGAGTGGTTTAGATGAGGCTAAAGAAAGGTGTGTGTGTGTGTGTGTGTGTGTGTGTGTGTGTGTGTGTGTGTGTGTGTGTGTGTGTGTGTGTGTGTGTGTGTGTGTGTGTGTGTGTGTGTGTGTGTGTGTGTGTGTGTGTGTGTGTGTGTGTGTGTGTGTGTGTGTGTGTGTGTGTGTGTGTGTGTGTGTGTGTGTGTCCATGCTATGAAGAGTTTGTTGATTTTAACTAAGAGCTACAAGGAAGCTATGGAAGATAATGAAGTTAAAACCCACTTGAGGTTACATTTCAAGATCTCATTCCTTTCCTCAAAGTACACAATCATATAAATGAAAAATATCCTCAAAATTGCCAATATATGTTCAATATCCAATAATGCAATAGCAAAAAAAATTGAAATATGGGCAATGGACCTGAAGAGACACTGTCCAAATCAGACGCAGAAACACCTCTATGAGATGTCCTCCAAATCTATGATTAGGATGCCAATTGTCAAAAACATTTTGCCGGGCACTGATGGCTCACACCTGTAATCCTAGCTACTAAGGCGGCTGAGATCTGAGCATCATGGTTCAAAGCCAGCCCAGGCAGGAAAATTCCCGAGACTCTTATCTCCAATTTCCCACCAGAAAACCATAAGTGGCACGCTTGGTCAAGTGGTAGAGTGCTCACCTTTAGCTGAAGAGGGCAGGGACAGCCCCCAGGCCCAGAGTTCAAGCCCCACAACAGACAAAAAAAAAAAAAAAAATCGAAACACATTTTACCAAGGATGTGGATAAAGGGAAGTATTAGACAGTACTGAGGAAAATATATATTATATTGGTGCCATTATAGAAAACTGTGGAGAATGCTCAAAAAGTAAAAACAGAACCACTACATGATCTAGTAATTCCACTCTGGGTACATAAAAGACATGAAAAGATCCTGAAGAATTACCTAAACTCCCATGCTCATTGCTACATTATTCACAATAGCCAAGGTACCTAAACAGTCAACAATAAAGAAATCCTTCATTTGCAAGAACATGGATGAACCCAGAAGTAAATCATCTTGCTTCTGTATGCAATCTAGAAAGATTAAGAATAGAAGACAGGTAGAAATGGCCACAAGTGGGTGAAATAGGGATATAGTGGTAAAAGGGCATATTTACAATTATAAAATGAGTAAGGTTTGAAGACCTGATATACAGCATTGATTACTAAACGTATTTAATAATATACTGTATTTGTTAAACTCCAGCCTAATGTTGAGTAGAGAAATAGGAAGATCATAGATCAATGGGAAGAGGACTATGCTAGAAAAGGAGAGGTAAAGTACAATTGCAGTTAATGTTTCTGGAAAGCTGTGTGACTAGATGCCAAACTGAATTTCACATTTTAGCAACAGGCAGTTTGACAAAAGCAATCTCCAAGAAGCAGAGAAAAAAAGCTAAACTGGAGTTAGGAATAAACGTAATGGCCTTAACTCCCTGATTAAGTCTGGTTCTAAAATTAAGGAAACAATGACTAGGATTGAATGAAGTAGAAAGGTGCAAAGTTTAAAGGAGAGCTTAATTATTAGGACAGTAGTTTGGGCAGGTAGGTTTCCTGTGCTACTGAAAAGATAAAAGCAAATATATATTATTTGGAATACCTAATCACAAATTCTTCTTTCATTTCTGATCAGATATGACCCTGAGACTAGAATACTGCATATACATCAGTAATATAGCCTATTAGCCTTTCCTTAAATTGAATCATATATAGTGACAATGGAAGTTCTGGAATAAAAGTGATGTAAGCTTTAAGAGAAACAGTGTAGCCAGGAACTCAACTAATTTGATCTGTAATGCTCCAAGAAGAAACTATTGTTTAATAATGAAGGGAAAAGTGTAGGGGGTAGAATAATCAAAAAATTGAACTCTTCAAGATGTGAGAATAAAATTCAACTTAAATGGGGGCATCAGCCCATAGGAAGATAATCTTTCATTATCACAGCAAAGATGAGGGATACAATGTGGGAAATACACAGAATTAGTGGCATGGCAGAAAAGAGCATTCAAGTTTGAAAAGTTCTTATGGATGCAATTAAAATTTTAGAATACATTTAAAATATGTAGATTGTGTGAGCTGCTCTTGGAATGTTCATTTGATTTCACTCAGGTTTTCCAATCCATATTACAAATTTGATCATGCTTTTAAAAGATTATTCCCATTATGTTTTCCACACAGCTTTCAAAATCGCTGTTAATACAGAACCTCTACCTCTCTTCTCCTAGATAAACTTGAAATAATGCTATTTTTATTCATCTCACTTTATCTTCCATTGTTACCTTTATGTTACTGTACTTATTATTTTTTGTACTTAAGTTTGAACATAGGCTCTTCATGCTTGTTAAGCAGGCACTCTACCCATTGGGCTAAGCCCCCATCCCTTGTTTTAGTTTTTGAATAAAGGCTCAAGTTTTTTTCCCCCCAACTGTTCTAGACCACATTCCTCCTATTTACATATCCTACGATAGGGCAAACCACTACATCCAGCTTATTGGTTGAGAAAAATATTTACTAATATTTTGCATGGGCTGGCTGTGGCCTGCAGACTCTCCAAATCTGCACTTTTCAAGGAGCTGGAATTACAAACAAGCTATCACATCCAGCATATCACACAAATTTGTAAAAATATTTTCTCCTTTCAGCTCATGTACATCTAAACTCTAACACAGATAACTCCATCACAGCCACTAAAATTATGATTCCCCAGAACAGTTAATTCCTATAATCTTTTCTAAAATTGTTGGGTATCAATTACTGCTTAAACACATCAACTTATCAACTTAAGACTTTCTCTTCCCATCTACATGAAAAAAAGCTAGAGGAATCAAATATAAAATTATTTTAGTATAGTCTATAACTTGTAATTAAGAGATTAATATGAAGTACAATTATCAACCCAGAACATAAAGGATGAAAAGAGATTAAAACAGAATCACAAAAAAATAATGTACAGAAGAACATTTACTGGAACATTTTGATTGTTTCTTTGAAAATGCAAAAAAGGGTGATTTTTATAGCTATCTTGTCAGTGTTATAAGGATTAGCTTTGGGGACAGTAATAGATCCTACACAGAGTTTAAAATATTACAGTGTTAATTCCGCAATTGTTTGCTAGTTTCTGGTCAGCATTCTTTAGTGTCTAATGTCATGTCTACATGAAAAGATTACTTAGAATCAACATTACTGACTATAGAAGAAAAGACAAAATTAAATATTAATCATTCCATTAAGATCATTTTTACAAACATATCCCAAATATCTGGACTTACCTCTTTCAATTACAAAAGCAGCCAATGAACTGCAACATTTCAGATACTGTGACTGGCTAGAAATTAACTGATTAAATGTTTCTTTAACAATATGTGAAATCTTTGCATACTGGACATGCCTCCCTTCTAGAAAAGAGAATCAAAAGCAGTATGAAATTGAAGAACATTGTGCTTTTTCTTAAGATTTCTTAGATTTATAAAAAGCTAAGTCAGTATTGCATGCTCACTAGAGGGATAATGATTTATATTTTATAGAGTTTAACTTAAAAAGATATTCAAATCTCATGAGACAAGGTAATTTTTTTTGTATGTCACAGGGCTTGAACTTTGGGCCTGGGCACTGTCTCTCAGCTCTTCAGCTCAAGGCTAGTACCCTATCACTTGAGCCACAGTATCACTTCCAGTTTTCTGGTGGTTTATTGGAGATAAGAATCTCATGGATGCCAGGCTGGCTTTAAACTGTGATCCTCAGATCTCAGCATTCTAAGTAGCTAGGACACAGGCACGAGCCACCAGCGCCCAGCCAGTAATTCTTTATTAATAGAACTGTCCCACACATTGCAAAATTGACCTATATCTTATTGATGTAGGAACAGTTGTGCTCCTCAGTTCCTACTCCTCAATAATTACGAAAACCGAAATACGCTAGCATCTACTCCAAATAGAACCAATGCAAAAATTAGGCATTTAAATTCAGTATAGTTCCATATTTCAATTAAAAAATTCCCTAACCTCGATGGTTAAAAGTAATTCTAAGCAACTAGGATTACTATGCAATAGTTTGTAAGGAAGAATACACAACAAGCCACCCAAGTTGTAGTGTTATTTTGACTTGAAATATGACAGAGCTTGAGATTTTAGGATAGGGCTCTGGAGTATATATACAATGGTGTGTTTGTAGTGAAAGATTACTGCTCAAGAGAACAAGAAGACACAGAATCATATAGTGTTTCTCAAAGTGTGGCTATACATCAGTGGATGATCGTTGACACTTCACAGCAGATACTAGTAGTCTATTAATTTAGTTCACAGTCCAAGAGATAATTTTCTAAGATAAAAAGCAATAGCATTTGCTGTGTAATTTCAATTACACATTTTGTTTTTTGGAGACAGGGTTTTTCTATGTAGCCCAGACTGGCTGAAACTTGTTCTGTACCTAAGGTTTCTTTCAACTCCTGTATGTACGTTCTGAATGCTGGGATTACAAGTACATATTCCATGCCTATTCATTTTAATTTTCACTTGCTTAGTAATTGTTACCCTCTAAAGGCACACAAATACTGAAAGTACAACATTAGCAGCCTTGAGCAAAATTCTGTTAACTAAACATTACAGTCATTTACATGTCTTGTTTAAATATGGATTTTTCTTTATTACTATTAGCACTCTGTGGTAAAAAAGTGAAAATTAAAAAAAGTTGACAAAGAGTCACAAAAATTAGTCACAAAGTGAAGCTGTGATACAAGTAGAATGAATTGATTGGCTGTTTATCACAAAAACTCATAGTACAGAAAATCAACTTCCATTTTTTTCATTTTTTTTTCAATAAAGGTTTTGAATTCAAGGCCTCACGCTTGCTAGGCAGGCACTTGACTCATGCCCCCAGTCAATTTTATAAACTATATTCCTTTAAAAAAAACTGAAATACACTCACAAATTTTTCTCTTTAGGCACAAAATCACTATTGATTAGTTTCACGTAAGTATTTTGATAATAACCTATAAATATATACATACATCAACAAAAAAATAAAATCTGATATCATGCTAAAGCCCACTGTTTGCATTTACTTGGTGGGAGATAGTAAAGGCAGATGTAGATAGAACAAAGGCAATAGTAGATGGCACACAGCTGGGTGGTGAAGTACTTCCCAGCATGTGCAAGGCCTTTTGTTTAATCCTCAAAAGACAGAACAAAACCCTCCAAATGTACCAACAAATCTCTTAATCTTAGAACAAACAATAAATACTGAGGATACATCAAACAAAATGTTCACTAAATGTATCTCCTCTCAACATCTGAGTGAGAAAATGCTTAGCAAGTATGTTTCCTCTATACGTGTCTACTAGTTGTTGAGCCCATTAAGGTTTCACAAATTATTATGAATGAAGGATAAAATAAACAAAAGTCACATTCAAAATTATTTCACTTCATTTCTTCGACCGCAAATTTCAAGTGGAATTCAGTTTCATAAGCAACTTAACCCTATCACTGTTACTTTATTTTTGTACCAATCATGGGGCTTGAACTCAGGAGCCTATGCACTGCCCTTGAGCTTTTTTGCTCAAGGGGAGCTGGCTTTGAACCACAATCCTCCAATCACAACCTCCTGAGTAGCTAGGATTACAGGCATTAGCCACCAGTGCCTGGGTAATATCACTATTTTTAAATGAAGATATTGTTTAACTGGAAATACACAGTCAAGTAGTTAGGCTGTTAAGTAACAATCACCTTGATAACTAGGTCAACATGAGGTATTCAACTGTTTTTCCTTCAAAAGAGTAACATTCAAATTCTTGTTTTACCAATAAAGTCTGATATTTTCTTCACTTGATTCCTGACCTGGACCTTCCAAACTGGTCTTGACTTTTATTTTTTTAAAGTACACGTTATCTCTTCCTCAAAAACCTGTTTTCCCCAAGATAATAGGAAGCTATATTATTTATCAGTTCTTGAGATTCTGCTCCTTTAGTCATTAAAAATGTCCACAGAACTTGAAAGACAAGAGCCGCTCCATAATAAGAGATGACTACTGTCATCCCTGATTGCTCTTTTGTTCATCCATTCTTTTGTCAAGTGATGCTACCTGACTATTGGATTTTGACTTCTGAATGTGTTTGTTTTCCTTGGTCAGATGCTTTCATTCCATTCAAATACACAAATGTGCACACATTTTCTTTGTCTCAGACAAACCCATAAGACTAAGCTTGAATAAACATCCCCCAAACTTCCAAATCCTACATTCCAGGCCTGGAAAATGAAAGAAGCTCTTTTCCATTTTACAAAGACTCTAAGCTTAAGTTCAAAATATGACATGTTTTTAACATGTCACAATGTAGAAATTAAAAACAAATGCCCTGTTTTTCAGGAAATAATAGTCTATCAGGTAAAAAACGGAACTATTATTCAATATTGCATGTGATAAGGTGTTACAATATAACAATGCAAGTATGATTTAGTGAGAAGCTACTGAGAGCCAGGAAGGGAGTACAAGTATTTCACATGTTTGGATTATTTTACCCTCAGATTAAGTCTACAGGGTAATCACCATGATGGCAATTTTACAAAGTAAAATTAAGGGAACTGAAGCAACTGCCTATATATCACACAACTAGTAACTTAAAGCTGTAGTCTCTTGAGTTTAAGCAACTAATAACTGCCATTAAAAGAAAGTGAATAGATTATGCAAAGTTTGAGTGCTAGATGACCATCAAGCATTTGCTTTTGTTGTTTTAAGACAAGGTTTCTCTATGTATCCCAGGCTGATCTTGAACCTGAAATCCTCCTGCCTCAGCCGTCCCAGTGCTGGGTTAACAGGTGTGTGCCACTGTAATGAAACCATTGGTTTTCATTAATGATAAAACCACTACAGCAAAGAATTCCCAAAATAGCATTTATATGAACTTCACAAACTACCTCCTTGTAAGATAAAAAACTCCTTAACCCATGCTCTCCATTTCTTATTCCCTACTTCTCTCAATTCTATAAAACTATAGAATGGAATTTTTGTCTTTGTAGAAGTACAAAAGATTTCAATAAAAATTCATTTGCATTTTCATAAATATACCTATTTAATTATAATTTTAGTTGAAATAATCTATAAAAAAACACAAAGAATTTTCCTACCATAATGTACTTTTGAAACATATGCTGGTTCAGGCGCAACAACAGGTTCTGCAGGGATAGGAGGAGGACCTAATAAATAAGACAAAAACATAACAAAACATGAAACTTCAATGTTCCAAACAGATGGTACTTTATTATTGTGTAATAATAGTAATCCAAAGCGATTTTTTTAATGTATCTGTTATTGCTGGGTCATCAGCTCAGTTTTGATAAACTCATTGCTTTTTGTTATTAATTATGCAAATTTCTGAATTTCAGTATAATACAATGTGGAACACAGAATGAGAAAAATCTAAAAGCTGGTAAAGATAGGTACATTATTAGATGTTAATGCTTGGACTCCAAATTGTCAAAATTGACTTCAAATTAAAAAGTTAACTTTTTATAGTTACAATCATTACCTTCTAAATATGTTGAAGAGAAAACTAAAAGAAAATCCCTGTATGACAAAAAATTAAGAAAAGTAATCATGTAATCTGACATACATTATATGATTATAATACAAACTTTTAATTAAAATATTCTTAATATCAAAAATGCAATCTAATCCTACACCTAATAGAAAATTATTTTTGAAAATAAAAATAGAATATACACAAAAAGTAGCTAGAAGTAACACTATCAAGTATTAAAAATAAAGATAGAAAATACATACATAGACATGGATACAATAGGATAAAAGTAATTTTATATTAACATGTTATTTTTTAGTTAAAAAGGTATATACCAATGCACTCTGCAGCTAAGCAAAGTGGAGAAAATGAATCAACCTATTGTAAGGAAAAATATATTCCTGGTGTTAACACTTAAATCATTATATGTGGACTAAGCATATTAATAAATCAGAAATATAGTGAACAAGAATTATAAAAATCAAGAAAATACTCCAAGTACTTATCAAAATATGACACATTGAAAAAATAAGACTGCATATATATCAAAATTTAACAGAGGGCTGGGAAGGTGGCTCAGTGGTAGAGTGCTTGCCTTGCATGCATGAGGCCCTGGGTTCGATTCCTCAGCACCACATAAGCAAAAAGAAAAAAGCCAGAAGTGGCGCTGTGGCTCAAAGTTGGGAGAGCGCTAGCCTTGAGCCGAAGACCTGAGGGATAGCGCCCAGGCCCAGAGTTCAGGCCCCACAACTGGACCTAAAAAAAAACCAAAAACTAAAACAAAAAACAAACCAGAATTCTAAATTGCTTTAAGTAGAATTCAACTTAGCCAAAAAAACAGACCTTAAATAATAAGAAATAGAAAGCAGCTACTAGCCTAAAAAAGCCAAAAATTCGTAGGAATGTAATCTTAAAAAGAATAAGTTTATTGTTACCATGTAACATCAAATGTATACATTTTTCTTTTTAATTGTCTCATTTAAGGGCAAACCAAAATGTAATCTAACATGTGTAGTGGCAAAACATGTTAACACAATCTTCAAATTAATTGACATTTAATACTCATTCAGTTGCATATAAGTCTTAACATTGCTCATTCATTTATTTATAAACCTAATGAAAACCATAGAATGTAATTACTAGTACTGTTGTGACCTTGCAAATGAAAGAGGTCTAAAGGGCAAAAAAATGTCTTCCAAGGTTGACCAATGTTACTATCAGCAAACTAAGATTTTATCCTTAATCTATTTACTATTCAACCTCTTTTTGACCATTTTCTCAAGCAACTACTATTTACTAAACTCAGCTCGGATAAACTGCACCAACATAACATTAAATTCTATTATTAGATGTACAAGGTTACATGCACAATATGAATCCAATAAATGACAGGAAAAAAAACCACTTTTCAGTACCTGGGCCCATTAATAAAATAGGCAGTCAGTGTAGCAGTATGATTGTATCTTTTGGTGCTGAAATATGTACCGCACCGGCATTTTAACTAGTATTAAGTATGCCTAAAAGGTATTTATTCAAATTCTGTAACTTATTTTGTAGCTGCTAAGTAACTTGATTAACATAAATCTATCATTCCTTCTGGAAGATGACCATTTTTTCAGATACTTTATAATCAAGAACAATTTACCTGATGATTCTATAACTCGTGGTTCAGGTTCATCCAATTGTAGAAGCTCATCAAGAGCTAATTTTGCTGCATTGGATCTCGACTCCTTCTTATTTTGTCCCAGTCCAGTCTTGTATTGAATACCATCCACCACAGCACAAAAAGCAAAATACGGTCCCATAACATTACCTTGAAAAAGAACTTACAATGACTGCTACAATAATTCACTCTGGGTGTGTATATATTATTTTGAAAAATTTTTGGTGCCTATCCTGGGGATTGAACTCAAGGCCTGGTTGCTGTCCCTGAGCTCTTTTGCTCAAGATTAGTGCTATTCTACCATTTAAGTCACAGCTCTACTTCAGTTTTTTTGGTAGTTAACTGGAGATGAGAGTCTCACAGACTCTGATGCCCAGGTTGGTTCTAAATTGCTCTTCCTGAGTTCTCAGTCCCCAGAGTAGCTAGTATTTCAGGTGTAAGCCACAAAGTATATTGCTAAAAAACATTTCTGCATCTGGGGAATCAATTCAGTATAAAAATCCTGGAAAACTATTTAGTCTAAAATCCCAACTAAAAAGAAGCTATTTTGGATAGCATCTTTCAAATAAAAGTATAAAGTAATTATAAGAAAAAACTAAAATATCCGTCTTTTTGTAGGGCTAATAAGGATTAAAACTATAGCCAGATGAGCCCTTGAACTAGTTCTGAGCATAAAGAACCAACTTCAATAAACAAGTCATACATGGGGAAGTTATGTTTACCAATAGCACCAAATATCTATTAAACAATCAGAGTAAAATGTAGACTTCTTGGAACACCCTTCTCCTCTTTAAAAACTTCATTACAACAGAGTGCTATAGCTGTAATTCTAGCTACTCGGGAGGCTGAGACCTATTAGATCAAAGTTCCAGGCCAGACCAGGGCAAAAAGTCTTTGAGCCTCTGCCTCCATGTAACCAGCAAAAATGTTGGGCTGAAGGCATGTCTCAAGTGAACTAGCTATGGAGCAAGAAAGCCAAGTAAGAGAATCTCACTACAAGTGGAACATCTCGTGTCTTTTGATTGTCATAATACTTTTATCAGCTACAGAACATAAACAGCACCAAGGTAAGCAACTTAATCTACTACAGCTCAGTTGTACAAGAAAGCCCACAAGAAAAACTGAAATAGAAAAGTAGATCTTAAAGAATTAAAAAGAATGTTTGGTCCAAAATGCCCAGATTTGCTTTCACACAGTTACTTTTTATTTATCAGATGAAAAACGAAATCATCTCCTAAATTCATAGGTCACAGATTTTTTCAGGCTTTACTTGCTGCAATTAGGAGCCTAATCTCTATATTGTTTGGTTATGGATGGTTAGTTTCAACATCTCTGCAATTAAGCCCCATTATTTTAGTTCCTCAGATTAACAATCACGTTATACCAATTACCAGGAATTCCTGACAGCATCCTCCCATCATCTCATACCTCAGTTTCCCCAATTCCTTCCTTTATAATCACCTGTGTTTCAATACAAATTTATTGATCCAGAGAATAATTAGTATACTTAACAAGTAGCCCACATGATTCTCATGCATAGAATACTACACATAAGTTAGTAATTGTTCTGTTCAGCTGAGCTTTGAGCTTCATTCTGCTTATAACCCAAATTAATATGGTTCTAAATCACAGGTAGTATTTTTCTAAAATACTGACAACACACTGCTCTCAATAATAAACAATACTTTGAATATAGAATGAACGCCATTAACAATGAATGGGATCATGTTTTTGAGTAGTTTTCTTCAGACAGTTAAGATTTTTTTCGGTCATTTTTCCCTTTCTCCCTCCCTCCCTCCTCCTTTCTGTGACTAAGAACCTATATTTTTCAATGGTGATCTGAATATAATGGAAGAAAACTATTGACTTAAATAGAGATTAAGCCATTGTTGCCATTACAAAAATGCATTTTCGTAATACTTTCTACATTTAAAATTTTTTGTCACGTTAAATTTACTAGTAATTTATTCAAATAATAGATTAAAATTTTACATCATTGTGACAATCTTCACTAAAATTTCAATAACTTTAAATTCTTTCACAAAGATACAGATTTGAGATTCATAACGTCTAGTAACATGAAAATTTAAAAAGCTAATTTACCTTTGTGTGTTTTAGGAAAGTAACTACATGATAGGATATTCTTCAGGTAGGGGGTTTAAAGAATAACAAATAGTCCGCACATAAAGCAAATGCTGTTTACCAATAAAATGTTTGAGTTTCAGTGGCTAAATTTGGCCACAGTTTTTTCCTTTTCATAGACTCAATTTCATTAATACAAATATGTACCATTACCAGGAATATATATATTTTTTGACAGTCCTGGGGCTTAAACTCAAGGCCTGGGTGCTGTTCCTGAGCATCTTTGTGCTCAAGGTTAGTGTTCTACCACTTGTGCTACAGCACCACTTCCAGCTTTTTGAATAGTTTACTACAGGTAAGAGTGTCACTTTTCTGCCTGGGCTGGCCTCAAAACACGATCCTCAGCTTACTACAGCTAGGATTACAGGTATGAGCTACCCACACCTGACAAGGAAAGCATTTTTATTGCAAAGAAGTATATACACCACAAAATAATCCTTGTGTCTGACTTAAGTTCATCTAGTCACACACACAAAAATTATAACTATTTTTGTATATTTGAGTTATGTATATTTATGCTTTAGCATAAAATATTAAAGCAAAAAGCACAAGGTTTCTTATATATATCTGTCAAAGTGTACAGTAGTTATTTTTAGCACTAATACTGAATGCAGTGAGCACGTGTACTACCAAATGTTCCATTTGTAATGGAAAAATGTTTTCCCATATCGACATGACCAAAACAACTTAAGACTTGCCTGTGGTTACAGTTTCCTTAAGGTCAAGCTGAACTCGCTGCATTTGGGCAAACTGGTGCAAGGCTGACACAGGATTTATCTCTCCACGTTTGTATTTCACTATAAATTCTTTAGGTATTTTTTTTGGAGGAAGGACAGGATTTGAAACAGATGAAAGACCTTTGGAAAGCAATGGTTCTGGAAAATTGCCTAAAACAAATGTTCACATTGGTCAATTAAGTTAAAAAAATGAGCTAAAAAACTAAATCCTCTTTAAAAATCAAAGATATGTTTAGTGATACATTTTTTCATTAGATTGGTTTCTACTAAACAACTTTGGTACCATGTGACAAGTGCACTATGTTACCTTCATTATATTATTTGGCATGTTTCTACTAAATAATTCTAGAACATGTGACATGCACAATCTGATATTTCATTGTATCCTTCGGAATACTAATTTTACAAAGAAGTGATATTACTATGGTATCCTAAATGGTATCCAAGAAGCATGGAATCTTAGCAATGTCAAGGTCATCAGAAGGTGTGCCCTTTTTAACAAATGATGTCACTAAGGCCTAAAATGGAGAGAGCTAAGACATACATCTAGATCTGTTAGACCCATATCTCAGTTTCTTCTTTCAAAAACCACTGTTTTATACTGCCTACCCTTCCCATATAATTATTTTCATTCCAATTCACTCAAATTTTCTCAAAGTATATATTTGTCCTCACTTTCTAATGCTTAAATAATATGTAGAATCCAAATCAGCCTCTAAGTCCCCTCCTTTCCCCTGCAACCTCAATCTCACAAAAGGCAAAGCCACATTTCACAGTGGAGGGTGTGACAATTTAAAATTGTGACATGAGCATCAAAGGAGCGGGGAAAGAAAAACTTCACAGGTTTCCTACATAATCTGGGAGACAGACGCCAGCTTTAGGTGGGAGCAGAGGTCACAATGAAGTAAAGATCCATCTTTTCCTCTCTAATGAATGGGGAGAACTTTCAGAGGATTCTTAAAAGGAAATGGAGGCACTTCAAAGGAAAAAGAAGTCGTACCCGTCACTTGTGTAACCTTAGACGCCATGCTTGACAGGCTGCCACTTTCTGAGGGAAATCCCGCGGGCGGTGTGGCCATCTGGGCTGCTGGTTGAACTGGTAAATTCTTTTTCAGCATCTGAGCAAAGCTAGGGACCCTGGAACTCTGAAACCAGTCACTGTCGCCAGGCATTTTATCATCTACAAATCACGTTCAAGTCGGCAGGAAACGGAAACAAAAGACTAGATGAAAAGTGGGTGGGGGCCCACCACGCTTACGTTCCGCACATTCACGCCAATGCGAGCAGGCCCCTCTTTGTTGTTGTTATCCTAACCCACTGAGACGGTCCAGCCTAAATCCCTGCCGTCGAACGTAGCTCAAAGCTGGGGAGGAGGCCGGAAGCCTCTTCATCCTCTCAGGCGCCGAAGCAAAGTCCAGAAGATTCGAGAAAACGCCACAGCCACGTCCATCCCCGCTGCTCCCACACCCCCGCCTCCCCCGGCCTTTAGCCGCAACTCACCCCCGAGGTTGTGCTCCTCGTCGTCCTCTCGACTGGACACCACTGCCGACAAGTGGGTGGTCAAAGGGAGGCCGAGCCGCAGGCCTGGGGCGGGAGCTCGCCGGCTGCCGCCTGCCGCCGCCATGGCTTCCTCCTCCAGGCGTCAACCTCTCACCTCAGGCTGCTCGGCGCCCAGCATGCCGCGCGGCAGCACCAATTGCGTCTTTCGAAAGCCGCTTTGACAACGACGTGGGCCTGCGGGACCCGCCCAGTACGTGACCGCGTGGGCCGGCCTCGGCCAATCACCAACGGTTTCCTACCGCGCATGCGCCTGTCACCTCCTCCCCCCCCCCCCTCCGCACTTACGTCGCTTCTTTCTACCCCACGCCCTGTATCTTAGGCCTGCTGAGGCTGTGAAGCGAACGTGTTTCCCTGTCGTCCTCGAGAGATGTCGACGCCTTTCTCTGACCACTCTGAACTGGCGTACCGCCACTTTCCCTTCTGTCAAAGTCTTGTAAGTCACTCTGTTTGTCCTCCTCACCTTCCGCCTCGTGCCTCCAGCGGTGCTCACGGAACTCCGCAGGGATGGTTACCTATATATCTGTTGTCTCTACCAAGGGCGTCCGCATCCGGGTGCTGGCGGCCTCCAGGCGCCATGTCCCTGGGACCTGGGTGCTGCCCCTGTGCCTTTTCACTCAAGGCTGGTGCGCTGCACTTGAGCTAGGCCTCCACTTCTAGCTATTGGGTGATTAGGGATAAAAGCCACCAGCACCTGGCTTCGGGGGACTTTAATGGAAAGGCTTCTCCATGAAGTAGATTTGGCCTTCACAGAAGTCTTTCTGAGTGCAGGGGTAAACAATCACCACTTTCTGGGCTCATGCCTATAATGCTAGCTACTCAGGAGGCTGAGATTTGAGGATCACAGTGTGAAGCCAGCCTAGGCAGGGAAGTCCTTGAGACCCTTATCTTCTACTAACTACCAAAAGGACTTTCTCTCCTACTGTGGGTTTGTTCCCTGTGCTGTTTTTGTTACTACGTCTCTGTAGTATAATTGGAAGTTCATTATTATAATATCTCCAGTGTTGTTCTTTTTTTTTTTTTGGTTACTTTTGATACTCAGTGTCTTCTATAATTCCAGATGAGATTTTTAGATTGACTATTATATTTCATTAGTATTGTGATGGGTGTTGCATTGAATCTGTAGATTTCTTAGGATAATCATTATTATATTGAGGTACAGTCCTAGATTCTACAGTTCTTTTATCGTGATAAGATAAAAATCATATGATCATATGATTTGTGTCTGTGATTCTGTTTATGTACTGCATTACATTTATTTCTGTATGTTGAACCATCCTTGTATCCTCAAAATGAAACCAACTTGTAGTCTTTTTTTTTAATTTAAATTTTATTGTAAAGGTTATGTACAGAGGGTTTACACTTACCTAAGTCAGGTAATGAGCACATTTCTTTCTAAACAGTGTTACCCCTCCCTCATTTTGTCCCACTTTTTCCTCTCCCAACTTCCTTCCCTATAGTAAGTCTTTTTTCATACGTTGTTAGTTCAGCTTACCTGAATTTTATTTATAAATCGTACAATGGTGCTTTTTTTTTTTTTTAACAAAGCTCGTTTATATTTCTCTTCCCCCACCCCCCATGTTTTCTTTTAGGATGAGTGAAATACTTCGTACAATGAGTTTGGAAGTATTCCATTTCTTTTTTGTGTGTGTGAAAGTACTGTACAGAGGGGTTACAATTACATAGGCCAGATAATGAGTAAATTTCTTATCAAGCATTGTACCCTCCTCCTTTGTTTATTCCTTCTATTTCTGTGTCATGCAAAAAATTGAGGAATGTTGTTAAAGGTATGATTGAATTTAGCAGATTTGGGCTTGGGTTTTTATCCTCCTGGTTCAATGTTAGTTAACTGTTTATGGAATTTTAAACATTTCTGCTTGATTTTCTAGTTTATTTGAATGTTGGGTTTTAAAGCATTCTCTCATGATCCTTTGAATTTCATTGGTCATTTTTTTATACTCTCATTTTTGTCTCTAATTTTATTAATTTGGCTTTTTTTCCTTCTTAGGTAGATTTATAAATTGTATTTATCTTTTCAAAGAATCAACCATTTTCTTCATTCATTCTGCCCTTTTATTTCTTTCTATCTGTTAATTTTGAGTTTGATTTGTTCTTTATTACCCTCCTCCCTAGGAACTGGAAGTACACTAAGTTTTTATTTGAGAGATCTCTGTTTTTGTTTTTGTTTTTATAGGCATTCATAGCTTTATGTTTTCCTCTTAGCACTTCCCTTTTCTGTCTCACAAAGGTTCTGGTAGACTGTACCTTCGTTTTTATTAGATTCCAGTAATTTATTTACCCTCTTTATTTCTTTAACAACTCGTTGTCATTCAACAATTTGTTTGTTCAATATCCATGTGTTGCAATCCTTTCTGTAGGTTCATTTTTGTTGGGTTCTAGTTTAGTTCCAGTATAATCTGATAGAATATAAGGGAGTATTTCAATTTTCTTATGTTGTCAAGACTTACTTTACTTCTTGAAATACCTGTTTGGAGAAAGTTCCATAGGCTGTTTAGAAAAATTTGTATTATGTAGCTGCTTGATGATATGCTCTGCAGATATTAAATCCATTTGGTCTGTGGTGTCATTTAGTTCTACTGATGAGTGTAGAACTGAAGTTTCTCACTTACTATACTGATGTTTTTCAACACTTTGTAAATCTAGAAGCATTTGTTTGACTTGGTGTACACTGGTATTTGGTGCCTGTGCTAACAACTGTTACTTCTTGATAGTTGTTTCCTTTTATTAATATGAAGTGACATTCTTCATGTCTTCTGATTAATTTTAAAGTTTGTTTTACGTGATATAAATATAGTTAATACTACATTCTTTAGTTGTACCCTTTGCTCAGAAAACCTTTTTCCATCCTTTTGCCTTTATCCTGTATTTGTCTGTGTGACTGAGATGTGTTTCTTATAGGCAACAAATGGTTGGTCTTGCTTATTAATCATGCTTGCTATTTTATGTCTTTTGATTAGAGACTTGAGATAGCAACTGCAATAGATGGCTTGATATGCTCATAACTGTGGTTAAAATCTAGTAACCCATTACTGATGAGCATTATTAGCATAAATTGTTTTGCAAATTTTGAAAACTTTTTCTTGTTGTCTTTCTAACCCATTTCCTGTTGTGAAGGAACTCAAGAATGTGTTTACAGCCCCTAGCAAGGTCATCACATTCTTCTCCTTATCTCACTATCTGAGTATAGGAACAATCACCACTGAACACAGGGAGAACAAATAGATTCAAGGTCATCATTTGATCAAAAGTCATCCCTAGCACATACCTCTGGAAGCCCAAGTGCCTTAGCTTTTCTTTTTAAACAACAACAATAATGATGGTCTTCCCAGAACCTTGGAGTAGGACTTTTTTTTCTTGAAATACCATTATGTACAGCACTGATTTTGAATAGCAAACTTTTCTTTACCACCCAGTTCTTAGTATTTGTGAGTTGGAATTGAGTTTAGGGGACCAGATTTCTGGTATCAAGACTAAAATTCAGTATGAGTATTGAGAGATATGCTATATTTGTTTTTGTTGTTTTTATGATGCTTCTTTCCTATTCTTTTTCTGCTAATCAATTTTTTTTTTTTTTTTTTGTCGGTTGTGGGGCCTGAACTCGGCATGGGGACTGTCCCTCAGCTCTTCAGCTCAAAGCTAGTGCTCTACCACTTAAGCCACAGCATCATTTCTGGCTTTTTCTGCTTCTGTGATGCTGAGGAATTGAACCCAGGGCCTCATGCATGCAAGGCAAGTACTCTACCACTGAGCCATCTTCCCAGCCCCCTGCTAATCCATTCTTTAGTGACATCTATTTCTAGATTTTTCTGTTTCTTTTTTTTCTTCCTCTACTGTGTATAGAATACTTTATATATCTTTTACAGTGCTGGCTTAGTGGTTATGAATTTCTTTAGCTTTTCTTTTTATTTCTTCCTTGATTATGAAGGATAATAGCTTTAGTGACTATTCTAATACAAATTAATAATTACTCCTTTAGAACTTGAATTATGTCCTGTGTTTTCTTTCATGTAGTTTGTGTTTAGAAATATACTGTTATTTTAATTAGTTTGCATTTGCATGTGACTTCTCTCTTTCCAGCTTTCAAAATTTTTTCTTTGTCCAATATATTTAGGATTTTAACTATAATACGTTTAGGGATCTTTGAATTGCCTTTCATATTCTATAAGCCTGCAGTATCTGAATGACCTCTCAAAGTTGGAGAACTTTTCTATTATTTTATTGAATATGTTATAATGATCTTAGTTTGGATCTGTTCTATTTTTTAAAATATGGTTTTTTATTGTAAAAATACTGTACAGAAGGGTTACAGTTACATGAGCAAGGTAATGAGTATACTTCCTATCAAGCATTGTTGCCTCCTCCTTTGCTTTTCCCCTATCCTCCCTTCCCTCCCACCACCACAACTATAATCTCACTCTCTCCCTCCCCTCTTCACTCCTCCCCACCTAAATTGTAAAATTCGTTTTTCAACATAGTATCTTGTACATCTCATTGTTACAGTGGGTGAACCTGTATCCCTATTTAAGCATTTTGTTTTTTCCCTTCCTTCCCAAGCTAGAGAAGTATATATACAAGATGCAGGGCACTGATATCAAATACAGTGAAAACAGGGGTTATACCATGGGGGAGGAACATACAAAGAACAAAAAAATCACATGGTACATGATAAATATATTAGGAACAATAGCAAGAAAGAGAAAACCACTTGTGTCCCTATCTTGGGGTTCATTTTGCTTAACTTCATCTTAATATGTACATAGCATTTGACCTTTTCTGCTTGTCCCAGACATATACTAGTTGTTGCAAATAAGGGAAACCATGGGACCTATGTTTCTTTGGGCCTGGCTTACTTCACTTAATATAATTTTTTCCAAGTCTTTCCATTTCCTAATAAATGGGGTGATGTCATTCTTTCTGTTGGAGGCATAGAATTCCATTGTGTGTGTGTGTGTGTGTGTGTGTGTGTGTGTGTGTGTGTGTGTGTGTATCACATTTTCTTGATCCATTCATCTACTGAGGGGCATCTGGGTTGCTTCCATATCTTAG